TCAAACCATGTGAATTTTTTAAGAAAATACTGTTGATAAAACGATTATTTTCACCAATTTATGTAACTTAATTTATTACAATAACTAGCTGTTCCCCGCGACTTCGCCCGCGTGTAATTTAGGGTTTTAATTTTTTTGCGAGGAACCCTAATTATTTTTCTAAAATAAAAGTAGCCTAAGTTACTCCTTGTGACATCAGCTATCTGCCAGTGAAAGTCCCGTCAAAATCGGTCCAGCCGTTTCGGAGATTAGCCGGAACAAACAGACAGACAAAAATTTTAAAAAGTGTATTTTTGTGTTTCATGCTTTTATCCCCATGCGCTGGGGTCTAACGTATCTATACTATACGTTTCGTTTCTCGGCGTTTTTGTTTTGAATTGAAATAAAATTGCATTACGATATTTTGTTCATAGCAAAATATAGCTATGAACATGCGAGCAGCTCTCTCGCACTCATTCATAAAATACATCAATCCTTCTCTGTCAGAACAAAAGGGATATTATAACATCACATGGGGAATCTCCACCTACCTTGTCGTTGCCGGATTTGGTGTTGCCATACATACAAAAAAAAAACGATATTGTAGGGTAAATATTAAAAAATAAAAGGACCCACTAATAATATAAGTCGGTCGACCTGAAGATAAAAGTTACAGCCAATATACGTCCCACTGCTGGGCACAGGCCTACTCTCATTTCTGAGAGGGTTTTAGGGCAAGGGAATGTTCGCCGCGCTGCCCTAATGCGTATTGGTGAACTTCACATGTCTTCGAAACAAAATTTTTTTCTTAATTCTCAGACATGCAGGTTTCCTCACGATGTTTTCCTTCACCGCCGAGCACGTGGTAAATCAGAGCTGAAAATTTCATTTAACAATTTAATTGGTGCCGGCGAGGATCGAACCCGGTTTGCTCGCTTACTGTGAAATTTACAGCGCGCGCTTAGCGCCTGACCAACTACCACGGCTCTTACCTGACCGGAAGATAAAATTATAGTATTTTTGCGTAGTATAGTGGCATTACTATACTACATAATACACACTATGAAATAATGGTACAAATATTATAATTATACTACGAAATCCAACCCTGAATATGAGAATAGTGCACGATTAATTAGTGTTATCGACAAGTCTTAGTCCTTTAGCAAGTTAAATATTATTTTATTATTTTTGATGGATGACAATATTTATGCGAAAATGAGTGGTCAGGACAGTAAAGAAATCCTATACTGCGGGGCGAAAAATAAATATTGTGTCACATGTTCCCGATCAGCAAGCAAAGGAATTGAGCCACCTTAACATACGTGTTTCAAGAAATGTTGTGGGTTCAACAGGTGAAAGGTCTTTGTTAGACTACAAACTCATTTATCACATTTGATTGTATCCTCATACCAGTATCTATGCTTATATCAGAAATACCCGACCTTATGGTAATATTACTGTTGGTATAAAGTCCTCAGAGCAGATTTTTTTTAATTAAATGGAGTACTATTTTATAGAGTGTAAACTCGCCCTCGGTAAAACTAGACCAAAAAAGTTGACAGCTCCATGGTTGGCCAGAGTTTGCAAGCGCCTTGAAAATATTAACTGTGCTCCCTTGTTACACAAATATTGTATGGCTACGATGTAAGAACGATGTAAGTCTCTATAAAACATAGCAAGAACAACGAGCATAAAACATTCCGAGAATTATAAAGGGCTTTAAAGTTTAAATATTAATATACAAGACTGTGTGTCACAAATTCGATGTGTAATCACATCAAATTTTCATTTCTGAGTGCTACTCCAGACAGCAAATATGAACCTGGTACTGTAGAAGTGCAGTGTCCATCATCCGATTATAATTGGAACCCGAAGAAGCAATCAAACAAAATAAAATTGACCTTTGTGTGTATAAATCTGTTGTCACAGTCCACACAAAAAGCAAATATCAGTTCCAAGTTCAAGACCAATTACTGGTCAAACAGGTGTATTTGCCACGTGGAAAGGCAACGGTAAAATAAAATACGAATTCAATTAATAGAATCAGGTGTTACTTTACGGAAATCCATTATATTAAAGCTTTTAAAAAGTTACCTTGTATGAAGAGCACCTCCCGCCCTCCCTCAATTGCGTGCACTGTCCCCGTCACCACTAATCCCAGCACCACTACACTAGGATAGACACACCACTGACGACAATACGACACGAGTTTCGCCTCTACAAGAGGCATCCTCAGGTGATGTAGACTCTACGGTGGCTGACCGCTAAGTGAGCGGCGAGCCTTTTTTTGCGCCCAGATGCAATGGAAAGGGCTACCCTCCGGAAAGCGAGAGAGGCGGTGAATGCTCTAAGCATACCACCACAGCCGGCTGTCGTGGTTATGTGGGACTCACTGCGACTAACCTAACCTAAGTGCCTACCCACTAAACACCACCTGTGAGACTGGCATTGGCCTTTCTGCCGAATTGGAAGCGACCCTCTTTAGGGAAAAGGGGGCGCAGAGCGAAGAGCCAAAAACAACTGCTATTTATACAGACCGCTGACGCACTTAGCGGTCAGCCATCGCAGAATGTACATCACCTGAGGATGCCTCGTGTAGAGGCGAAACGCGTGTCGTATTGTCGTCAGTGGTGTGTCTTTCCTAGTGTAGTGGTGTTGGGAGTAGTGGTGCTGGGATTAATTGTGACGGGGATAGTGCACGCAATGAGGGAGGGCGGGAGGTGCTCTTCATACTAGGTAAGACACATCATTTTATTTTATCGAGCGGATGTTTGCGAGGTAACTTTTTAAAAGCTTTAAAATACGAATTCATAAAAAGAAACGACCAGTTCTGGAAGAAAAACATGGATGGATGGATGGACCTTTATTAAAATTCTACAATAACTGCTTACCTGCAGAGCTAGTTGACCCTCAATACGCGAAATGTATAAATCTAAAAGACCATAGCTTACGCGTTAGCAAAAACATATTGACTGAAAGAAATAACTCGTACATACATTTACCAGTTTTATTTTTTGTTAAACTTTGTTCAGTAAAATACTATGCATTAACATTTTTTGATTAGTGACCTGATTATTTTATTTTGTGCATGTATTATCGGTTAATGTACGGTAATACCGGCGCAAGCCCACACGTGCATTTAAAATTGTTTTTTAAAAATGCTAAGCCCCACTCTCAAATTCACAAATAATAGGAACATTATTATTATGCCAGATACCCAACGCGATTGCAGTTTCGCCAACTTTATTCAATACTTATAAAATTAATAATATTTCAAGTACCCTCATACCAACAAAGAAAGAAAATCGAAGCGTTGCGTACATTTCAAGTGATGCAAAAACCAAGATAAACCATGCTCACCTTATTGCAAGAAGACGCACTCACGTACATGTACATGCATCTAAAATCATTTGCAACCATTAACACAGTTTTAGGTGCATATGTGTCTTTACGGGCTTATAAAGAAAGAAAGAAGAAAAATGTGTGTGTGAGTGCGTGTCAAAAAGTTGGGGATGGTTTCGGCTTCACTTGAAGCCTTCCTTCCGTTGTCGGTCTGAGCAAGTATTAAGTTTAGTTAAGTACAATATAAAATATATCGCAAAACTATTTCAATGGGTGCGTGCGTAAGTCGGCTTGCAATTCCAATATCTAAACTCGACCATGTCAAAAATGTAACTACGTCCAGTAACTAACGCTAACAGGAACAGAAATTAAAAAAAAAACGTGATATCAAAATATAATATTTAATTTCGATCACATACCTAATAGAGATATCGATCCTCTAGAAGTACAACTTAATCTAATTAGCCTAAGATTTATTTTACTAATCGTAGATTATAACATAAAATGTACCTATACACATCATACACAAGGGTCCCATCAGATATACTTTTGAAATATGTGAACAATGCGATTATAACTTAAGCCTAGTTGATCGGAAATTCGGATGCAAGTATACTTTCTGAAGCCAGAAATTAGGACGCATATTTACGGTTTCCGATATCATTATTTTAAAATTTTACACGAAAAAAATATGAATTTATAACGAAAATTTGTTCATATTAAAATTTCATCTGTCAAGGTAAAAAAATTGTGTGACTGTATTTGTACCTGTACCTAAGTTACTGCGAAATGCGACCTGCGACTTTACCTTTGAATAAATATTACACAATTGTATTCGATGTACAAACTAAAATTTTAAAACTTGGTTGTGCTTAATCCTAAAATTTGGGTAATACGAATATTTAGACTAACATCGCAAAACTATAGAACAAATAGTAACTATTTCCGCGTAAATGTATCGCAGAAATATTTAATTTTATTAATATATTTAACAAATAAACAAGAATTAACAGAAGGACTAATTTCATGAGAAGCTAGTGCTGCATCACGTTATGTACATGTTTTGTGCAACTTTAACATTTTATAATATTTTAATTTTTCACAAAAATAAATGCCAATATTTTAGTATAGTTATCTTTTAGTAACTACAATTTCTGTTATACTATTAACTAATATTATTATACTTAAAGTTAGAGTTTGCTTCAAATGTCTTTAAACAGCCTAAGAAAATACATATTATGTTTCTTGATAAATTAGCCATATTAATAAGTCCTTATAACGTATTCACAATTTGTATTCACAATTTAAATTTTGAACTGGTATTCCAAAATAAGAAATTATAATTTAACAAAATACACAAACCTGTCAAAGCTGGTAAACTTAGTAATTCTTATAAAAACATAATAATAATAGATATAGATAACTATGGAGGTAAAAAATTAATAAATACTATAACAGGTTGTAACAATGAGAATAAAATTGATTAAAACATTGAGAACGACAGCCACATCACTAATTTTAATATTCAACTCTTATCACTTACCATTGACGATTTCATAATCTAAAACGATGAGAAACAAGTTGGCAACATGAGAATAAAACGGAGCAGTCTATGGCAAACGGTACCGCTAAGTTAACTCGGTAAAAATCCGCGGTCCATTGCCGTCAGTCTCCGATCACATTCTCACGTGAAACTTGCCCGCTTTGGTGATGTATTTCACACCCTTAAAAGGTTTGTATTTTGCACCATACATGTCGAGGCGACTAACTCTAAGTCCACTTACCGCTAATTGCGGAATTGTAAAATGTATATTGATACTTGGATTCGCCCCCGATGTATCAGCTCCTGTTGCTACCGATACCTGAAAAGTACGTTTTATTGAGCAAATGTAAATAAATGCTTGTATTAAAAAAGCTTTTTTATAAAACTGAAATGCCAAATGAACAGTACACCTTCGGTCCACCTGATGGTAAATACACAGTTAAGCTACAAATTCACCTTTGAGGACTGAGATGGAATGCCTCAGATCCCGTTGTTTTACTGACTCTATACTCTTTACACAGCCTGTAATTAGACTGACACTCTATACCTTTCAGACTTAAACAGAGCACCGCTATTTGGCGGCAAAAATAGGTAAGACGATGGTATCTACCCAAACAGACTCCTCGGCAGAAAAGAAGTCCTACAACCCAATTTTAACAAAAACCAGATTCTGGCTACTACTAATGATGACGATAATATTTTATATTAATAACAATAATTATAATACAATTATTATTAATATTTATACGTGGTAGAGCCATGCTGCAGCTATAATAGTAGCATAGTTGTAGCACGAATGGGTCGGCTTGGCCGGGGAAGGACCACACTCTCACAGAATACCAACGTAAAATTGCAGCTTGACACTGCTGTGTTTCGTATGGTGAGTGTAGAGAACCGGAGACCCATTTTACTGAAAAAGAGGCATTCCGTCTTAGTCCTCACGGGTGACGACGCATCTGCATTTTGACTCTTTATCCAGGATAAATGTGGACTTTGAGCTCGTTTGTCACCCTATCCTATAAAAAAAATTCTAACGTGGTATAACGACGCTGTAGCCTTATTATGGTTATAGCACAAATGGGTCGGCTCGGCCGAAGTAGGACCACGCTCTCACTGTATACAAGCATAAAATAGCAGCTTATTGCTGCTGGGTTTCGTCGTATGGTGAGTGTAGAACCGGAGACCCATTTTATTCTAGTAAAATTCTTTTTTAGTCCTCAGAGGTAACAACGCATTCTTAATTGAGGATTGTAAATGCCTATGGGCTCATATTATACGCTTACCAGCAGGTGGACTGTGTGCTCGTTTGTTACCCGCTTTTTATCTGCTTTTACTTTATTAAAAAAATAACAAACAAAAATACGTATTTCATTTAGTGAGCAGGTACACTACTAGCGCTTTAAACTTTAACATTATTTCTCATTAATTTAATCAACATTACAATTTTCTGAATATTGGACTACCTATAATCAATCAAACAAACAGTAATATTGTTTCTTTGTTAAGGTGGTTTTTTTTTTGGAAAAGAGTTTACAAGTTACGTTCAATAGACTTGTACGTATTTAAATTCTTCTTTCTTTCTTTCTTCTTCAACTGCCCGAAAATTCTGCCGCTTTAATCATCACGCTTTGCAGGTAGATTGGCGATCGCAACACTAGACGTCTTGCCCTTTTGACACTGCTGCCCGTCGTCTGTCTGAATATTTTACCTTTGTAATAAATTTGCATTGTATAAACTAAATAAAAAAATCATACTCACAGATCCTCTTATATTCGGCAACTTCGGAAGCTCAATTTTTCCAATATCCCATAATAAAACCTTACTCACTGGATCGTATGAATATTTTCCTTGATTGGCTGTCAGAGAGCAATTTAATACGCATTTTGGCATACAAATTTCAAGTGCTACATCTGTAAACACAAAAAAAAATGCGTGAGTGTCGTGGAACATTATTTAGAAGAAGTTTACTCCCTCGCACAACTTCCTTGTGGAATCAATTACCACCAGCGAATTTTCCGGACCGATACGACTTAGGAACCTTCAAGAAAAGAGCTTACACCTTTCTAAAAGGCCGGCAACGCATCTGCAATTCCCCTGGTGTTTCGGTTGTTCATGGGCGGCGATAGTCACTTACCATCAGGTGAGCCGCATGCTCGCTTGCCCCCTCTTCTATAAAAAAAAACACTCGGTTGGAATATTATTATTGATAAACGTAGGTATTATATTATTGATTAACAAATACAAATAAATAGGTTACTAGCGTCTATTAAAATGAAGCGTCATTTGAAATAATATAATATTTCTTTCATGGCAAGATAAGAAAAAGTGCGAGGGAGATGGATATTATTCCATCTCACTTCCTTATTTCGCCGCCAAGGCCGTCTAAACTATGACACAAGGGATAGTGACGAAAAAATCTTACACTTTTTGTCGCCTAGCTCCCATCCGCCAAACCCGTACCGTCCGATAAGGAACTTCGTTCCAAAAACACATGTTAAGGTATCATTAAGCTGAAATATTACCCATCATTTCTTAAAGATGTTTCGCGCAACTCTTGGAATCGTTTTCTGTTGATTCCGAGAATTGGAGGGTTATTTTCTTAACTGATTCGATGCGGCACCAATTTTCGACAACTTTTAGCTATGGCGGCGAACAAATATTTCATGACACGCTTGGCGTGTCAAGCGCCAAGTTGATGACAAGCCTATTGTGCTATCAGCCATGTGTAAAAATAATTATCTTTTTTATACTTTTTTCACTTGTTTAGACCTAATTAAGTTTAGTTGACATCAAACATCAGTTACAAACGGAAGGATAATGTTTAAGTGGGTAACTACGTTTTTCTACGTGTTTTCTTTGAAATTGAGAGTAAGTGACTTTTTTTATGCAGAGATTACAAACATTTTGTACTATTTTTTGTTTTATAAAAAAAATCATTTATATAAGTAGGTACAGCTAAATCACCTTGGAAACCCTTGGTTTTTATTAAATTAAATTTTCACCTAAAAATAATATTTGTAAATATCAAACAATCAAGAACCTTAATTTGGAAAAAAATAAGGTTCATGATTCATTAATATTTACAAATGTTAAATATTATTTAATGTTATACAAATGTAAAAGTAAAGTCGATTTGAAAACGGCTAATTAATAAGAATAGCAAAACAAGTGTTTTCAAAAGGAAACAAACGCCGGCGCTAAACGGCGGCGGATTAACAAAAGACTATTTATTAGCGAACTTTTTTATGCATGAACGGTTTCCAACTGTGTCAAGCAAAAATAAACCTTATACCATATCACAAGAGCACATGGTACTTCGTAGGTCTATTCGGCCATATGATAGTAATAAGACGGCAGTTAAACCATTTTAAGCAAAATTAAATAATGAGACAAACGCATTGTTTTTTTTTAACAGGAGAGTTGTTTTCCAGAAATTTATTTACAACTTGAGTTTGTGAGAGATTGCAATGAGTGCTATTATTTGTTACTTATTAGACTATTTTTCCACAACATGACAAAAAACCCACAAAGTAAAAAGAGTACCATGTACAAGTTAAAAAAAGGTTGTCAACCCCTAAAAATTTCAAATTTTCAAAATATCCGGAAACGAAGCCGCAGGCATGAACTACTTGCAAAATAATTAATATTTTGTTGTGGATAAATTTTCCAAAAACGTAATTTGAGCGAGTTATAACGATTTTTAAAAAGACACGACTCGCGTATCATACACCGCACACAAAAGTAATCGATCTAATAATGGCACGCCAGGCGTGCCATTCGCATTGAACCGATTAACAGACAAACAGGCCGGCGCTTTAGATTATTGGTTAACGACCTGCCCAAAATGGATACAGGCAAAAAGCAAAGTAGTAAACCGCAAAGGGCAGAATATTGTTGGTTTAAAGTCTCCTAATAAAATGTATGAAAATTATGGAATAAATTCAAAAGTATACTAGCTATTTTCTTCGATACTCCAAATGCTTCGCTGAATTGAACACCAATCGGTATATAATATTTCATAGTGTACAAACAAAGTTCAAGTTTTATACGTGGTAGAGCCATGCTGCAGCTATATTAGTAGTATAGTTGTAGCACGAATAGGTCAGCTCGACCGGGGAAGGAGCACGCTCTCACAGAATACCAGCGTATAATGGCAACTTGACACTGCTGTGTTTCGTGTGGTGAGTGTAGAGAACCGGAGACCCATTTTACTGAAGAGGCATTCCACCTTAGTCCTCACAGGTGACGACGCATCTGCATGTTGATTCTTTATTGAGGATAAATGTAGATGTCTATGGGTTACAGCAACCACTTACCATCAGGTGGACTGTGAGCTCGTTTGTCACCCTATCCTATATAAAAAAAAGTTCTATCAAGTTTTATAAAGTTATATATAACATACAACATGGTGGTATATCTGAAGTAAGTATAAAATTATCCTACTGCTCCAAAACCATCTGCTCCTTCAGTAACGATCCTCTAAATGCGAATGGAAGAAGACCTGTACTCAACAGTGTGACGTAAGCGTTATTAAATCGGTTAAAAAATAAAACTCCTTTACTTTTTAACCGATTTAATAATCTAGACCTGCTTGGAGTCCGTGACGGAAGAGCGGCGCCGGGTCGAATGGTAAGACGTCACAAGCGGACACATTTTATTTTCCATACAGGGTCAGAGGGTTTTTAAGAGGGTTTAGTGGTTTAAAAAATGAAAGGAGGCCTGTGCCTGTGAGCTGTAGGACGGATTTAGACCGTAACTACTTATACTTTAGCAAGTTAGCATCATGTCGCAGATGGACAGTGATTAAGTACTCCTGTTATTTAAGCGATATCATGGCAAAAGAAAAACGCAATCCAAACAGAATTGAGAACACGATATGAATACAAAAGAACTGTTTGCAGAGTACTTGTCCACCACTTGTCCAATAATTGAGATTTTACGAAGACCGTTTTTTAACGTATTTCAATAACCACTTCAAAAGTTGCTTGAAATTTTGTGGTCAAAAAAATAAAAACTCAAACTCTCGAACTATAAACGACGAAACGAAGGTAGGAACTAAAAACGACTTTGTATTTGCTTTAGGTAAGTTTACATTTATTCACTAACTAGGTACGAAATTCCTTCACTATTCTGAGATTTCGGTTTCGTTTCACTCACTCTGAGAGACTATATGTTCAAAATAAAGACTTAAAATAAACAGCATAAATAATTAATTTAATATTATAAATAATACTTACTTTCTAACGTTCTTCCCATCGTTTGCTTTGGTCCAACAGTCATTTCTAATCTTCCTTGGTCTCCATTAGACCTTAGTGTAAGACTATGCCGGACATAAATTGGAATGGCTACAACACTTTGTGATCCAATATGATACGACATCAATCGGAAATTGCCATCAGGTGGAATGAATGATAATATTCTCTCGGACTAAAACGTAAAAACAGATATTAAACAACTTTATACGTATTGTTTATAATTATAACAAACTTCTCTCCTCATTTAACTTACCTCCCATCTTTTGAATCTCACACATGGATGAAAGGAAACATCATCAAATAATCTGGGATTTACAAAAGTCAGTGTTAAATCTGGCATTCCACTTAATTTAATGCAGCAATCAATCTAAAATTTAAAAAAGAACAACATTGTTTTAAAATACTTTCGTCTTTGTTTAAAAAACATTACCGCCACATTTTTGATTTTCTCCTGGATCGTGGATGCAGTTTACAAACATAAATTTCATAAATACAAACATCCAGATCAGGAAGAATTATTTCTAAATTGTATTTGTGGCTCTGCAACTCATTATATTGACAAGTCATTATGTTGTATTTTTAATAGGTCACTTATGCATTGATACACATATGTCAAAATGTTAGACATTCTTCAACATTCACTCATCTATTTACCTTTATTCATTAGGTCTCCTTTATTTTCAAAGGATTAATAATAGCAGCTACCTACCTTTCACTTTTAACTGTTACTGTTACAGTTAGATTTTTTTATATTTTAAATATATTGATAGGATGTTTATTTGATTATTAAAAGTATCTATGACGCCATTTACTATTTACTATATATTCCACCGTGATATTCCTGTACGATATGTATAAAAAAAGTTTCGCTTTTAGGGCTCTTGAAAAGTATTTTAATTAGCGTGAATGTCTATTTAATATCTAATGAATTAAGAAATGCATAAGCAAAAGGGAAAATCCTAGATAAGGAATAAGAAAGAATCATACTGAATTGCTAGCGTCGAACTGCAATGCAGGCAGTTCTGACACCCGACAACAGTAAGCTGACACCCGACAACAGTATGCTGATACCCGACAACAGTAAGCTGACACACGACAACAATAAGCTGACACGCGTCGACTGTACACTGACACCTGACAACAGTAATCTGACACACTCCAACAGTAAGCTGACACCTGACATCATTAAGCTGAAATTTGTTTTTTTGACATTGATAGAACATTTCTTTAATAAGTGTTACATAAACAAATTTGAATCTGTTTTCGGATGGATGCCAAATCTATGACTTATTTACATAATTTAAAACACAACTTCAGTAAGCTGACACCCGGTAACAGTAAGCTTACACCGACAACAGCAAACTGACAATCAACTACAGTAAGCGGACACCCGACAACAGGAAGCTGATACCCGACAACAGTAAGCTGACACCCGACAACAGTAAGCTAAGCCCGACAACAGTAAGCTAACACTCGACAACAGTAAGCTGGACCCGACAACAGTAAGCTGACACCTGACATCATTAAGCTGACATTTATTTTTTGACATTAATAGAACATTTCTTTAATAAGCATTATATAAACAAATTTGGATCTGTTGCATTCTTGAGACTGCAGACTATGACATCACCGGATGGATGCCAAATCTATGACTTTTTTACATAAATTAATTTAAAATCGTAATATACTAAAACTAATATTGCGTTCAACAATTTGGTTATTGACTTACATATCCTTGTATTTCAGCAGAGACTGTGGCACCGCTTTTGTCTATAATTGCATCTACTTCTTCAACAACATCAAAGTATGCCTCATTGTTAGCATATTTCACGCCCGAACGACGCCACGGCACATTTGACAACTGACCAGATGGTAATATTGAAGAAACACTAAAATATAAACAATTTTAAATAACTACACAAAATCTCGCATTTATAAAAAAATGCATACATATTTTATTTACTTAGATTTTCCAGTGACAGTATTGGCAATCGTTCTTAGAATGTTGGGTGGTTTAATCAATTCCTTAAGAATATTACTTTCTGTAGCTAACGGGAAACCATTGTCCAACATCTCATCCAACAGCTAGAACGAAAGATTTTTTTTATCAGTATTAATGGTTATATTTTAACTAAATACATAACATTATATAAAGAAATTTACCTCATAAACAACAACATAATTTTCTTTTATAATAGTTTCTGTACAATCCGAGAAATAATCCTGAAATTAAAAAAAATCAAGAAGTAAATGTATGTTTCATTATCTATCATTATTTTCATCATTACAGTCCTTTAAAATTCCACTGCTGAACACAGGCCTTCTCCATAGATTTCTGCTGTTTTTTATCTTACGACACGCACGAGATAATAATAATAATAATAATTCTTTATTTCCAAAAAGGTACATAGTACAACCAGATATTTGCTTAACACTTAATAAAGCTAATTTTGTACATATATTTGAAACAGCATCTGCAGCCGAACTAGGAGACCTGTGCATCAGCTGTCAGCGCCATATCCCCACCGTTAATTTACATGAATATTAGGATGCAAGCAAAAGTTAATTAATTAGAGAGGAGAGGAGTAGAGGAGTGAGTCTTTGGACACAATTATAAAAGCAGCTCTGTACTTGTGTTCCCTAAGTAATATTTTGATTCGAGAGTTTTTAATCACGTTTAAAGTCTAAATGATTAAGATCTAATGATTATAGTGCGTAAAGATTGTGTTGTGATATAAAAACCTCAAGAAAACCTGGTCTAAAATCATTATTTAAACAAATAAAAGTTGAAATTGTTTGTTTTTATTTATATTGAGCGGTAGAGGAACAATTGTGAGTGCCGATGTGCTGAGCTCGCTGCTAAGCAAACTGCGAGCTTATCCGACCTGTTGACTGGTAATAATCGCATACGCCCGGCCTGTTTGTGATGCGACGCCCGACCCAGTACTGATAAGGTAATGCAGATAGAACAACGATAATATCGTGCATTACCTTTGCATCTGAGAGGACAAGATTACACGGTTCGTTTTTTGAATATAACATAATTAAATTTGAGTGGATTTATGATGTCTAATGCAAATTGGGGCTGTTGTTTTTCTGAAAAAGATAACTGTGATGAATTTATTGTTTGCATTAAATGCGATAAAAAATATCATTATGCATGTATGATGATTGATCGCAAAATTATTTCCTCTGATTTACTGGCGACATGGGCCTGCCCTGAATGTGTCCACCAACTACCAAAACCTACAAATAAAGAAAATACACCTGTGAGAAACGTTACTACCGTTAGAGGAAACAAAAGAGTAGCTATTGGTTCGCCGCATTCTGATTCGGAGAAAGTGAACATTTCTATGGAAAACATCCGTCTAGTGGTAGAAGGTGTGATGGAAGATAAAATGAATGATCTATTTAAAAGATTTAATGAAAACTTGGCTGGATTCTTCGCGAAGGAGATAAAACCTATGAGAGATGAATTGTTGAGTATTAAGGAATCTTTAACGTTCATTAATGACCAGTATGAAGGTATAAAGAAAGAAAATGTAGCCTCTAAATTAAAAATAACTTGTTTGGAGAAAGAGAATGAAGAACTGAAAGGAACTGTTCATGCCTTAGCTCAGAGAGTAAATCAAATTGAACAACACTCCCGCCAATGTAATTTAGAGCTCCAGAACGTTCCGGAGTCGAGAAATGAAAATCTTATAACGATGATAACAAAGTTGGGTAAAGTCATCGGCAGCTCTCTGAAAGAAAATGACATTCTAAACTGCACACGCACAGCCAAAATAAATCGTGAATCCAGGCGTCCAAGATCTATAATAGTTCATTTAGCTTCGCCTAGAATTCGAGATGAAATGTTAGCGATGACCTCTAAATACAACAAGGCGAACTCAGACAACAAACTGAATACCACACATCTTGGATTAACAGGACACACCACCCCTGTTTTTGTTACTGAACATCTATCCCCAGCGAACAAGGCAATTCATGCGGCGGCTAGGCTTAAAGCAAGGGAGAGAGGATATAAATATGTGTGGGTGCGTAATGGGAGAGTGTTTATGAGAAAGACTGATGACAGTGACTATATTTTAGTAAAAAATTTGGATAGCCTAAAAAAACTTATTTAAATTATTCTGGTTGTTCCTTTCTTATTTTATAGTCTTTTATGTGGTACGGTTTTTTATAAGATTCGATACTCTAAAATTGTACTATCAAAATTGTAGTGGTCTTAAGACCAAAACACATAGTTTCTATAATCAAATATTATGTAACAACTATGAAATAATAATACTCACTGAGACCTGGCTTAATGATTCTGTTTCGAGTAGTGAACTTTTTGATCCTAGATATGTGGTATATAGAAGAGATAGATGTTTTACCAGTAGTAACAAGAAAGAGGGAGGGGGGGTTTTAATAGCAGTATCAAGTAAATTAAAATCGAAGCGTATGAACGCTTGGGAGTCGGATCTGGAAGATCTTTGGGTTTTAGTCGATGCACCAGCATCACAGTCAATTGATCAAATTGCCTTCTGTGCCATTTATTTACCATCTCCTGTAAAAAGTGTAACTTATGATAAATTTTATGATACTTGTACTAGCGTCCTGGAAGAACAGTGCCTGCATTGTATAGTAGGTGATTTTAATCTATTTTCCATAAATTGGAGCTTGTTAGATGAGGATACTGCAAAATGTGAGCTTTCCACTGTTAGTCAGTCATTTGTTGATTTTTTAAATGTTAATGATTTGAAACAGTACAATCGTATAAAAAATAAGAATTTAAATAGAACACTTGATTTGGTTATTTCAAATTTACCTAACTGTACAGTGGAACAGGCACTTTGTCCCCTCAGTAAAGTTGATAGGCACCATCCTCCCCTTGACATAAATGTTAAGCTATTGAATGACATTAGATTACCTTACAATATTGAAAACGTACAATTAAATTTCTACAGAGCTGACTATGATAGTATTTGTAAAGAATTAGAGAGTTGTGATTGGGTAAAACTGCTTGACGGGTTGACAGATGTAAATGATATGATACAAATTTTCTACCAGAAAATTCGAGATGTTATTATTAAATTTGTCCCCAATAAATCGTCAAAAAATAACAACTACCCACCTTGGTTTGATCGGAATCTAATTAGAACGCTAAAAGATAAGTATAAAATTAGGTGCCGTCACAAAAAATATAAAAATCCCAGAGATGAGCTTGAACTGCAATTGCTGAGTAAACGGTGTACACATATGGCCACAAATTGCTACAATAGGTATATAAAGCTAATAGAGAGTGACATAGCAAAAAACCCAAAACTATTTTGGTCCTTTGTTAAGGCGAAACGTGGTGGTTCAAGCGCCTATCCCCTCGCAATGACTGACGGAATGACAGTAACTTCTGATGGAGTGGAAACTTGCGAACTTTTCTCTTCACACTTTTCATCCGTGTACTCTGAGAATACTGAATGTACTGAGCAGGATTATGTTTATGACCATTCAGAGTCTTTGAAATCAATAGAAATTAATAGCCTTCACTTAGCAAAGCTGACAATTAATCATGATACCCTATTAAATAAACTAAAAGCCATCAATTGTAACAAAGGGGCAGGTCCTGACGGAATACCTCCAGTGTTCGTAGTCAGATGTGCTGAACATCTTGTTAACCCACTTTTAATTATTTTCAATCTTTCTCTTTGTACTGGGCAGTTTCCTACAGAATGGAAAATAGCTAAAATCGTTCCGGTTCATAAAGCGGGTAGTGCGGATTATGTAAAAAATTACAGACCGATCTCTATACTATCAGTCTTCGCTAAATTATTTGAGTCAATAATTTGTCCTTTTATTAAGAGACATATCAATCTTTACTTAACCACTAGCCAACATGGTTTCGTTAAAGCTAGGTCCACGAGTACTAACTTGGTACATATTACGGAAACACTAATTGAAGCGCTTGATGCGGGAAAACAAGTCGACGTAATATATACCGATTTTAGCAAAGCGTTTGATCGGGTCCCACATGATATATTGATTCGAAAGTTAGCTGCCTATGGTATTACTGGTAGTTTGTTGAATTGGCTAAAATCATATTTAAATGACCGAGCGTTTTTTGTAGTAGTGAATGGATATCAGTCAGGCTTGAAAAACATTCATTCTGGTGTGCCCCAAGGGTCACATCTCGGACCGATTCTGTTTGGAGTGTTCGTTAATGAAATACCAGAATTGATGAAAAGTTCTTGTGCGTACTTGTATGCGGATGACTTAAAAATTTGCAAGATGATAACGGAAGAGAATGATTCAGTGAAGCTACAAAATGATTTGGATCAATTGGTGGAATGGTGCAAAGTAAATCGAATGGACTTAAACATTAGTAAATGTCTTTATGTGCAATATGCGAGAAAAAGTAATACCATCGATTATAGCTATCACATTGGAGATAATAATATACAGCAGTTAGACCAAATTAGAGACCTAGGGGTTGTTTTCGATAAAAAATTAACTTTTGTGCCTCACATTGAAAACATTACTAAGCGTGCATCTAGGATGATGGGTTTTGTAATAAGAAATATCAAAGTTTTTCGAAGCTCTAAAATTAAAATTCTATTGTTTAACAGTTTGGTAAGAAGTATATTAGAATACTGTGTTGTAGTCTGGAGACCTCATTATGCTACACATTCACTGAGAATCGAGCGGATCCAAAAAAGATTCATAAGACATTTGTCTTACGCGCGTGGGCTTAGAAGTTATAAGAAGCGTGTATCATATGAAAATAACTTGGTCTATTTCAAAATGATTTCTCTAGAAAACCGCAGGGATATTATTGATTTAATTTTTGCTTCGAAAATTATTAATGGTGTTATTGACTGTCCCGAAATTTTAAGTAAATTTAATTTGTGCGTTCCCTATCGCTATCCGCGTTTTGCTCGTAAGATTACACCGTTGACTAGACCACATCGTAGAACAGTGTTTGGCTCCAATTCCCCAATTGCGAGAATGAGTAAAATTGTTAACAAATTTAGCGAAACAATCGATATATTTTTCGACCCTCCTAACAAGCTCCGTCGCACATTAAGAGACCATTTCTTGTAATATTCTATAAAACATTTTCTTTTCTTTTCGCTCTATGTATTTTTATTACTGTATATCATTATTATTTTTTTACCCTAGAAATAAAGTTACAGTGCTGAGATAGTTATTAGCATGTGGTATCCGCCTGTAATTATTTGTACATTTTAGTTCTTATTGGTTCATTGTATTTAAATAGCATGTAAGGAATGATACAAATGTTGGTGGATCAATAAATAAAAAAAAAAAAAAAAAAAAAAAATTAATATTGTTTAACGAGTTTGTACCTTATGCTAACATAGCCTAGGTACAATGAAATTTAATGGATCACATGTTATGTTCCATATGCTAAGTTATTACTTATACTATATATAATATATATAAGGCACAAAAAAGAAAATAATTTATACTAATAATGTCATTCCTCTCTCCTAAGATGTGTAATGTATGACTGTAAGAAGTATTTGTGTAATGAGTGTAATGTGTGTGAGCAATTTAAGGAGTCGAGTGTGTAAAATGTGTGTGTATATGTTTGTGTGTGCGTGTGGGTGTGTGTGTGTGTGTGCGTGCGTGTGTGTGTGGGTGTGTGGGTGTGTGTGTGTGTGTGTGTGTGTGTGTGTTTTGATATTATTACTTTTATACGGGTAGCATTGTGTGTGAGTTATATAAGAATTTATGTTTAATTCTGAATACTAAGAAGGTTTTCAGTTTCATTATAATTTAATTTTTGTAGGTAAATCTGTACAGTTTTTTTACAGTCTACTTTATTAAGGTGGTAAATGTCTAATGTTTTATTTAGTTTATTATATAAGTGTGGTCCTAAAAATGCAAAGAATCTTCTTATAAAAGTTGTTTTAAAATTAGTTGTATCTACAGAAAATTTCCTGCGTTTATTTAAGTTCGTTGGGTTGTATAGCAATAAACTATGCTGTTTCTGAATGATCGTTAATATAAACAGTTGTCTTACCGTAAGGACCTGACAGTTATCATAAAGTTGTGATGTAGGGTATAGGAAAGGTTTAAATGTTGCCACTTTGAGAATAGCACGTTGAGAGATCTCAATATTTTGTAACACCGTTTTAGAAGCTCCACCCCACGTTGATATGCAGTATGTTATAATAGACTGACATAAAGCTAAGTAAACTCGTTTTAATATATCTGGATCCAAAACGTGTCTAATAGTTTTAAAAATATATATAAGTTTATGAATTCTTCTGCTAAGTGTGTTAATGTGTTGTTTAAAATTTAAATTACTATCAATTATAACCCCCAGATATTTAATATATTCAACAGACTCAAGTGAAAGGCAGGAACAGCTATTGTGTCTTGTTGAGCAATTATATGAATGAATCACTAAGTTAAAATTTTCAAGATTACGACTAGGTTTTCTTAATGAAAAGACTATATATTTTGTTTTCCTAATATTGAGTGAGAGTTTATTACTGTAAAGCCAATTAGTAATTGCATTTATACCTGCCTGTGCTAATAAGAATACATCTGTCCATGTATCCGCCGCAAATATCAGAACAGTGTCATCTGCATATGAAATTATATGTCCCTGAGAGAGATCAAATTTTGTTAAATTGTTAATATAAATAAGAAATAAGGTTGGTCCGAGTATACTTCCTTGTGGCACTCCATGGGTTACTAATAGATCATTGCTATTAATATTATTTACACCAACGCATTGATATCTCTCAGAAAGATAACTTTTAAATAATTTGTGTTGAATGCCTCTGATACCGAGATTTTCTAGTCGTTTTAATAGTATTTTTATTGAAACGGTATCGAATGCTTTGGCCAAATCTAAGAAAACTGAGATACACTTTTTTCCACTATCTAAATTCGATGATATAAAATCTGTAAGAGTATGAACGGCATGCTCTGTCGATTTGCCATGTCTAAAACCAAACTGTGTATTTGACAGTAACTTATTTTTCTCCAGATATTTTGTAAGTCTATTATTTATAATTTTCTCTAAAAGTTTTGACAAAGCAGGTAAAATAGAGATAGGTCTATAATTACTTATACAGGTTTTGTCACCATCTTTAAAAATAGGTCGAATTACGGACTTCTTAAGATATCTAGGGAATACACCATAATTTAGACATTGGTTAAATATGTAAGTTAAAGGAGGTATTAACAAATATTTAAAATTTTTAATAAATATATTTGAAATTCCATCCCAACCAACTGAGCATTCTGTTTTCAAATTGTCAATTAATTGTTCTACTTCACTTTCATCCGTGTCCAATAAAACAAATGAATTTAAATTATAATTTGATTTTTTACCAATGTCACTATTAAAACTTTCACTATTATTATTTCCTATATTAAAACTCTCTGCCAAACTTTTACCTACATTTACAAAATAATTATTTATATGGTGGAGAAGATTATTTTACGCTGCCTGTTACGGACTGCGAACGGAGCCGCCGCCCCGTCGCCCCCTCATACCCTGTTACGCCACGCACCCCCCACCCCGTTGTTAAATTGTCCCACCTTTCTTTATACAGTCCTCTTAGTACTCATTTTAATAGTAAAGTCAATTTAGTAAAGTAAAGCTCTCTTCAAGAAGTAAAATCTCTCTTCAAGAAGTAAAATCTCTCTTCAAGAAGTAAATCAAAGTTAGTTATACAGTCTACTTACACAATCATCTCAACTCCACACATATTTCGACTCCAACCCGAAACTGTCTCTAATACCACCACTACACGACATGAATGTATGTAATATTAGTAAAACAGAATTATTTTTTTTATATTATCAATATAAAGTAAAAAAGTTACAGCTCATATATATCCTATTGATGAGCACAAGTCCACTCTCATTTCTCAGAGGGTTATGGAGCAATTAGTCCACTGTACTGCTCCAATGTGTTTAGGCACACTTCACATTCTCAAAGTATTTTATTACTCAGACATGCTGGTTTCCTTGTTATGTCTTTCTACACACCCGAGCAAGTGGTGAAATTGTGGGGAAGAAAGAGAGGCGATCGCACTGGATACCAGTGTGATTTAGCACCATATCACTGTTTTGTTTTGTATGATAAGTGAAGAAATCCTTTTCACTAGTAAAGTTAAAGTTACAGCCTACTACGTCGCACTCCTGGGCACAGGCCTCCTCTCATTTATGGGAAGGTTTTAGTTTTAATGCATGTAGGTGGACTTCACATGTCTTCGAAATATTTTTTTTTTTAATTTCTAAGACATGCCGTTTATCTCACGATGTTTTCCTTCACCGTACAGCACATGGTAATAAGGTATTAATTTCATTTTAGTCCTTAGGGGTGACAACACATCTGCAATTTAATTATTAATGAACGATAGATGTAGTGTTTAAAGTCTACAGGATCCACTTACCATCAGGTGGATTGTGTGCTTGTTTGTCACCCTTACTTATAAAATTAAAAAAATCATGAGAACTGTCATTCCTCAAGCGGCTTGGCTGTGAATACATAGTAGCACATGTATTAAAACTATAATATATAAAGTAGACACTTAAGGCAAATTCTCCATACAACGGTAAAGTTCCATGCCCAGCTATGGCCTTTTATTAGCTTATGATAAAGAAGAAATAATAAGTTGGTGATAGCTTTAATTTTGAAATTACATGGAAATCACAACAAATTATACATTAATTATAGAGAAAATCCTTATAATTTGTACCTGAAATGTGTCAACAACTCTGTGCAGAAACTCTATAACAAAGAGAGGTGCAACTTCTTGTTTGCTGACCGCAACTAGAGCCACTCCACCCCTTTGTATAGATATTAAATAATGGTGAGGAGCAGCAAGCACTGGAGGAACATCCTGTAACATTCAAAATTCTTTATTGCTGCTGTCGCTATAAGAAGATGCATTACCTCATCTGATCACAAGGCTTTTATAAAAGTTGAATGAGAGAATTTCTAGGCAGAAAAATTAAATGCAGCTAATGATAAGCATGATGTATATACAATATATTTTGCTAAGTACGACATTAAATTAATATATACAGGTAGTGATAATTGGTATTTAGTTTGTTGTAAAATTTACAGCTGAACTGGCGACTGGCAGAGTCAACAAGGTACACAGTAGATGGAAGTTTATCTCAACTTATTTTAATTCCCAAAGTTTCTAGTGCTTTACAGCACTCACGGTCGCGGGGGGGGGGGCCTGAAATATTACCTACAACAATTGAATATTGACTTTTGGACCAATCTACGAAGAAAAACGTTGTATTTAATTAATTATTTATAATTAAAGCTTTGTCTTTAATTAATTAATCATAGGATCCCAAGCAGATGAACCAGATATCTTCTCTATAAAAATTTGGATGTTTTTAATAGCCTTGTTAGAGTTAATGTATGTTTACATATTTGTTGTAAAAATAATCAATTTCAGAACATAATTAAAAAATTATAATTTAGAAACAAATTTCACAAAAAAATTAAAATTCTAAGTTATAAAAAGGTCTATAAACTACAACGTAAATTCATTAATTGCGTGTTAGTAAAGTAGCAACGTAGTGCGTGCCTTCAGCTCTGGCGCAAATTCTCCCGGCGGCGGCACAGAGTGGGCGGCTCGCGATGTTAGAACTTATCACAGTTTGTTGATAATCCACAAATAACTACATACTGTAAGTATCTAAGCTCAAATATGAAAATTTCGCAAAAATCCGTCTTCCTTTGTCTCGGATATTTGGTGTGGAGCAATCCATTCTGAGTAGAATATTTATATATAGATATAGAATGTTCTAGATTCCACTTATGTCCACTAACCTGCTTTCTCCAATATGCTGGAGAACACCTACAATTGTTTGAGTATTTGTAGGGCAAACCTTTGTTTCCCTATACCTTTTGTGATAAGTTCTTATTGCAAATACTACATTCTGATGTCATTTTCCATTAAACATAATCACGTCAGCGTACTTAGCACTCTTGAACTCTAGTAAATTTTAACACTCATAACTAGTATCAGTATATACCTAATTAATATGTGCGTGTTAATATTTATACACATTCAGGTCACTAATTAAAAACTAAAATAGACAAAAGGAATAGGGATAGGGAATGCACATTCCCTTACCCAGGTAGGAGGAAATTAGAAATCCCTGCATGTTAAACAAGACTCTCTTTTGCAGAAATTTGGCAACACAGCATACATTATTTCCTTTTTATGCATGCATATGGAACATTTTTCTTTCATGCTTTAATTTCATTTATACATCTTATGAGTTGACCTCTTCGTTTGTGATTTTCAGCACAGGTTGTTCCAAATTATTCATTGGCAAAGTATTGAAAGGTTATAAATATTCACTGTAATACTGAATATGCATTTTCATTTAATGTTGTACACAGAGAAACACATTTTATAATGCTGCAATCTCCAATCTGCTTTCAGTGAGATAATTTATAGCAAATCCATTTAGTTTGAAAGAGACTTAAACCCAGCAGTGGACTCTTTTAAAGCTGATGAAGACTAAGATAGGAAGGTTATATACAAGACAGGCTTTGAAATATCAAATTGCACAATTTTCATTTAGGGTAGTTACAATAATAACATTTGACTGTTTAATGACCTTTACATTACTAATAAATTAAAACTAAGCATTGTAAATAAACAGATGATTTATCTATTAATACTATACATTTGCTTATATGCGTTTTACTACTTTACTTGAGTTATACAATATAGATTATAAATAATACTTATTGAAAGTCACTCTTTTGTTTAATTACCACTGGTTCAAAAAAAAGCCTCTGTCCTGGGAAAAACCAGCAAGAAACCCATCGCTACTTTTTTTTTACAAACATGTATATTACACAATTAAGCACACAAAACAAATTAGAAATAGCTTGTAAGTTAGTATTATATTTTAATTAATGTTACCAAGGTATGCATATGTATAATGATTTCTTAAATTCTTAAAATAAGTTAATATACGCGATAAAATCAGTAAAATTAGTTTTATTTAAATGCATATGTATAGTTATGTACATAGTTGTGGGTACACCATTACTACATTGCAGTGTAGTGGCAAGTAAAAGAATCCACTATCCCATCAATCAAATTGTGGGTGTTGTGAGAGGCAAAGGCGAAAAACTGAAACAATAGGTAGGATGCTATTCTTGATAAGAGCCCAAAATCATAAAAAAACCGGCAAAGTGCGAATCGGACTCGCGCACAGAGGGTTCCGAACAAATCTGTAGTAAATAAGTTTAAAATTATTAAAAATATTTTTATTATATGATGTAACTAAAAATTTATGCTTTTCGCAATTTTTCCGTAGGTTTTGATTCCCTTGGGAATGTCGAAAATTTACAGCATAAACGGCTGTATCTTTTAATTGCGTTGGCTTAGAAGTTTGCAGTTTATTATTTTCACAGCTCTAAGGGACAGTAGACTTGAGTACTTGATATGAATTTCAGCTTGATACCTCCACGCGTTCCTGAGAAAAAGGGTCTTGACAGACAGACAGACGGACAACAAAGTGGTCCTATAGGGGTTCCGTTTATTCCTTTTGAGGTACGGAACCCTAAAAACTGCAGTTAACAACATGCCTGCCAAACATGGCAAATATTATCGTTACCGTTGCAACCTATTAAAGGTAATTAAAAAAAATATATGTGGCCTTATAGTAACTTTTGAATAGAATATAGAAGTAAGTAAGAAGCTGCTACACATGAAATTTTTCAAGATTAAATGTTGGTCCAATAAACTCACAACTTCAATCAAGTTTTGTTTTGCAAAATAGGTATTAAGAGAGACATTAATATTTAAAAATCGTAGCAAACATAGGCCTATTGCTTTAATGAAATTCATATAGATTTCCAAATTCATTCAACATAAAAATGTTATTACTTAGTCAATATATATTACAATAAAATAATTTAAAAAAATCAAATTTAAACTTTAAATTGGCTGTCGCTAATCATGCAATAATTGTATGATGACAATAATTATTCATACGATATCATATAAATAAAAAATAATATTTAAAATTAAAAAGTTAATTTCTTTCAACATTATATTTTATATAATAATTATAATGTATTACGAATTTCCATTGACATTCGTCGAATTGAGGGGGGAGGGGGGGAGAGGAGGTGTAGGGGGACTAATTCAGAGGGGACTGTATCTATTTTGAGACTGCAACGACTCCGGCGCTGCGGGAAGAGCAGCCTCTACGCCTGTGCGTAACAAATCGCAGGCATCCCTCCTCGTCCGATGCCTATGATTTGTTACAGCAGGCGGAGGCTGCTCCCTCTACGTGCCTCCGGTTCTATATAACCACTCTAGGGGTAGGACAGACTCGTACCACGTGGAGTCGGGGTCAATAAATTTGGTTCTTTGACATAAGTAGAACCAAACCAGAACCAAACCATTAAAACTGATTTTACTGATAAGAGATCATTTATTGTATTATCTTTCTTTTTTTCCATAAGAAATGATTTATTATGGTATCTTATAAATGCAAACAGGAAAATATATCTATATTTTAGAAATCCATTTTTTGTGAATTCACGACAGCTTACGATTCAAATTGATTCAAAAATCTTTTTCGGAAAGAATCGACATCCGTACTGACAACGACAATGACATTACAAAATGGCGCCAGTTTAACGCTAGGAATGTAACATAACATTGCAAAAATAATTAATTTTAAAGTAATGTTTTTTCTCAAAAAGTACGCATTTCCGCATATTTAAACTTTGCGTGTGTGCTTATAATAGTGTAACTTTTCTGTAAAAATACGTATCAACACCCAACTCGACGGAAGTCAATGGAAAGCTAAGCCAAAATAAATAATACGATAATCATATAAATAAGAACAGAATTATCATTTGATTATTGTATAAATAGACACATTCATTAAAAATTTCATAAAATCGGCATAGTGCCACTTTCAAATATCTTAATTTTAAATGCAGAACTATGAAATACTATTATATTTTTTTTCTCTTCCAGATTTTAGCTTTTTTAATTAGTTTACTAAAACCAAAATTTAATACAATATTAGTGTAATTATGAACCAGATTAATTCTTGCAAATTTTTAAAAAAATGATAATAATCTTAAAAGACCTATTAGAGACCTTATTATTTATTTTTACTTACATTTGGTGATGCTCGCTGAGCTTCCAAATAATAGTCACATACTGATCTGGGTATAACACTGCGCCAATGTTTCTCTAGAAAAACATCTCTGAAATAGTAATAACAAACATCAAGTAATTCTTTGATCAATCAGAGTGTACAATTGAAATTTTATGTAGTGCAAATAAGACGTGTACAATTACCCAGATGGATTAATTATAAATAAACTGTGTATCATTTTTGATTTGTTAATATAATAGTTTCCTGTTAGTTAAACTATAAATTTCGTAACAAAATTTCGTTGATACCAAAAAATAAACCACATAACTTTTTGATATTATGTTCCAATTTCACATAAAATGTAAATTTCGGTACAAATACGACCTGTCTTCTTTTAAGCTTCTGACACTGACAAATAGGGATGTTGAGATGAGCGATACGATTAAATACAAGTACTTACTCAATACATTCCTTCCGATACCAAGTACTTTTTGTATCGATACTTTATAACTGAGTATCAATAGGTATCGGTCAAAAGTATTTGTATCGGTATGCTAATGTCACGCTTTTATTTTAACACATTGATGGCTAGATAATACACTCTTTTTTGTGGTTGGCAAGTTTGTTAGTCTATGCCCGAGAGAAAAAAAACTGTCTGCCATTCAGTCGCCATACATGCATAATGTCTTTGTTTTCATTCTACGTTTGTAATCCTAACCTCTGACTGTCGCCGATGTTTGTTTTGTATTTAAAACGTTTTATATTTTTAACTGAATGAAAATGGGACCACCAAAGTCTAGTATTTGGCAATATTTGACAAAAAACGATGGGAAAAACGCAAGCTGCAAAAAATGCTTTAAAACCGTGCGCTTTTATGGCAATACGTCTAATTTGCATAAGCATTTAAAAAGCCACTCTGAATATTTTGCACCTGATAACGTATCAATAAAGAATATAGTATTGATATTCTTATTACGGTTTTAATTTATATATATATATATATATATATATATATATATAATACTTTTCAAGCTATACTGAGTAACCATCGACACTCTACGGATGATAATGTATCGAGTAAAAGTATCGATACCCCATCCGTACTTACAAGATTTTTTTATAACTGGCTTTATGGCTCTGGGTTCTAGCCCTTCTGAGCCTGTAGTTACAATGTATAATTATCCTTCATAGTACACTGCTTCACAATATGTTAATGCGTCACATTGTGCAGCCCATGGGAGATTTTGACAACAACTTGTGCCAGCAGACAGCTGACAGTTGGCCATGGTATCTCAAAGCGCCTAAGCAGATAGACACCTTATCTTGAGAATCACATCACCATCAGAGCACTTGTTTAACCGTTTCCACTAGTAGTTCACATGCGCAGACATTTAATACATAAAATTGTACCACACTTAAATATCAAAATCCACTTCAAACCATTATTTAAACAATAATACAGGAGCAGCAATCCGCTGCCGGTCAAGTTCCCGCCAGAACTCTTCGCTGGCTGACAAGAAACAGACGATAAAACCATAGATAATATACCTTTGAACATAGAAAATGGAGGAGATGGCAACCCTACAAAAAAATCGTGTCAAATTGAAACAATAAATGGCGGACGCTGTGAGCTCCGCCCATTTTTTAGTGATGTGAATTCAATCAACTTTTAAAATTTATTAACACCTATATGTATTTTTATTTAATGATATTTACGCGAACACTACACATTTAAACAAAACTAATTTTACGAATTTTATATAACAAGAGAAGTATTTTTTGCCTCTAGTTTTATCGTTTAAATAATAGTTTGAAGACGATTTTGATATTTAATGCACGGATAGCAACTCGTGCTTGTAAATTGTAAGTTAGCAAGCTAGTTGCTCTGTCTTCATATTATACAGAATTAGCTTTACTTCTAGGCTAATAAGTTACTATCTAAAGCCGGGATGGTTAAACAGGATAGAGTTCTCTATTTGAGCTAGTAGCACCCTCCACCATTTTTTTCTACTATTCTGGCACCAGTTTCGTGTGGCCGGCTAAGTTAATATCTTTTGAAGTAAAAACTACTTTAGAATCGCTGTGATTTGAATATTATTTTACTTTACGATGCACTTGTGGTTACAAATTATCATATCAAATAAATTATTTGCCGTGAAATATTTTTTATTTTATATCCACACTGGTGTAGATGGGTATTTCTGGATTTTGGCAACCAAATCAAGAAAGACCAAGTGAAGTAGAAACATAATAATAAAAATCTTCGGATGCTAAACCGCCTGCCAAGCGTGTTAGCTGTGGCAAAATGCCCTATGAGGCAAAAAATACTTCTCTTGTTATATATATATATATATATATATATATATATATATATATAAAACTACTTTCTTCTTTGGCAACCTAAAAATGATAGAACAGAAAATAATGATTTAGATCTATGAAGCTGCAAATAATATTACAAATTAAACAACACCATGGTTGTTATAAAAGGTGACTTAAGGTAAATTATAGATAAAAATATGCTTAACATTTATGTATATTGCATTATTAGAAGGCACGGATGGGCTAATATATACAATATATAACTAAACAATATATAATAAAGTCAAGTAATAGTGTCCATAGTCTCTGAGGTATTTGCATGTTTGCCTACAGAGAGAGATTACTAACAGGCGCTAGATTGTACTTAATGTAATCTTTGTTGCTTTGCTTCACTTTTATTATGTATGTACCGTAGGTTCCACCTAACATGAATGTAACTCCGTTTCCGTATAATTTGGTTAATCATTTATGCTCATTGCTCAGACCCATGACACCGAAATAATGCAATGCATAATGTAAAACTTTTTCACATAATACGACAGAATAAATCAAGAAAAACCTTAATAAAGTATGTCGTTGAAAGAATTTATTGTTAACAATGTAACATCACTATTTATGAACTACAAAATTTTATAGATACGCAAAGAATGATAAGAAGTAATTAAATAATACGAATTAAAGGTTTAGGGTAAATAATTACATCCATCTACTTACTATCGCAAGAGATACAAACGTTTTTACATTATTTTTACAGCAAAAACTAAATCACTCACATATGAAATTACAGTTCGCGTGATTTTTGACTATATTTTGAGGCACAGCCTCTTACACAACACTTAGTCATCTTCGTACTTTATAATGAATTGGAAAGTTTACTATAAACTGTTTAAAAATTCCCAAAATTTTCAAATTAAGAAATATCATACGACTTTTTATAACAGCAAATCTGAAACAATAAATGGCGAAATCGGTCGCAAGGCGGGGTTAAATGACGTAATGTTAAAAATGTTTACCAGAATACGAAACAATTTCTATTATCTGTTTCATTTATGAATGACACTTAGACTTGCACTTCGCTTAGTGAAAAAGAGATAGGCAGCATATTGACAGTTCAATGTCGAATATAACCATATTTGTATAACCAATAAAACATATAGACGCTCTGGGCAGCTCCTCTATTTTCTATGCTCAAAGTAATATACTGACAATGACATTTACATTTGATGGTGAAAACTTAAAAGCAGCGTGACCAGATTTAACAGGATATTGTGATTTAAGCAAAAAAAAAAAACAAACAATCCAAAATGGTAACCTATTCTACGTCCGTAAACGTCAATCTCTTTTATAAGTCAACGTCACATAAAATGGAAACCTCTAAAACCACTGACCTTTAAGCCGCGTCTCCAACAAAGTTTTGTTACCAACTTTTGTGTTGTCAACACATGTTGGTGACAAATGTCTCTGTAATTACCTAATGTTGGCAACAAAACTTGTAAACAATGTTGGGAACCCTGTTTCCATTTTCGGCGGCAAAATCAAAGGAATACGTTTGTTCCAAACATTTGTTCCCTCTTTGAAGACGCTTGTTGGAAACATTTCTCGGCAACATATCTGTCACGTAGAAGAACGAGTTAATCGACAGATTAATTGATTTATATCGATCTCAAAATATATTATGGGATGTGTGTAATCAAAATTATATTATTATTTATGAATAGATCTTGATAATTAGGTACCCAGTTACTGACGACATAGTTACAGATATAATATTTGATTTTTCGATTTTTTCGCGTATAGTGCAAATGATCCTATAAAATCGTTCAGTGTAAGTAGACCTCCCAGTACTAGTAACTGCCTACTACTGCAAGATCAGCATACACTAATTTATAGTTTAATAGGTCTCCTTGCTACTCTTTCATTAATAATGAAGTCGCGTATCGCATGTTTGTAAATAGCAAAAAATGTGAAACAGACAAGTGACGACCCCGTGGCGCAGTGGTTTAGTAATGAGTTGGAGCGCTAAGGGCCGCGGGATCGAATCCCGGACGGAACAAGTATTTGTATGGCCCTAGGTCTGTTCTATGTATATAAACTGTCCCTGCGATACAGGAGAAAATCCCAATGTGGAGGCAACGTTTTTTAAAAAAAGAGGAAGAGAGACAACTAATGAAATTAAAAACTTTGCCTATGACTTCAATATTAATACGCATTATTAAGGATAACTTCAAAACTTCAATATTAATACGCATTATTAAGGATAACTTCAAAACTACTGGTGTTTTTTTTTTGCTTAAAATTATAAATACTGCATCTGCTTGCATAATATAGTCACTTGAAGATATATTGTTGTCAACAAAACTTTGGTAGAGACAGCAAGTTGTCAATGTTTCTCAAATTGTCGACGACATGTTTCAATTCGGTGCGAAAACATCGGAACAAAAGTTGGTAACTTTTGTTGAGTTGGAAACGGAAACATAAATGTTGTCAACATTTTGGGTGGATACGCGGCTTTACATATACAAGGACGCTGGACTGGCTATACCCTACAAAATGTTTTTGCCGATTTGAAGCGCGGCCATTGTTACATAACCAACCAGTAAGTCAACGTCTTAGGTCCTAGCTCCCCCCCTACTCCATGCTTACTTAAACATTTATATAAGTATTTCTCAATCTGTTCTGGTTTCCTTATTGGTTCATGAACAGCAGTTAACAAGTCTAGAAATAAGGAATATATTAAAGTTTATAGAGGAATTAACTTATATAGTGGTTCGCTATTAGGGCGATGGTATCAATCAGGAGTTATAATACCATTGACTTAGAATATACTGGCTACACAATATCATAACAACAAATAGAATATACTATTTGTGGTTATAATATTGTATGTTGACTATGGCGACGAAGAGGCAGTAAATAGTGTGACTAGCAATATGCACATAAAAAGAACACGTCTTATTTTCCATTTTGAAACTGTTTGACATAGAACAACACGGGCCATCCGCGGACCAGAGAGTCTGCCAGTCAATCTGTGAACAAGTCTATAGCAATCGTCTGTCACTACGAAACACACATAAAAATTAAAACAAACTTACAATTTTAGACACACTATAGCTCGGTAATAGTGACAACTTGGATCATTAACTTGACCAATCTGCATATTGTATGAGAGCGAGCGGCCTGTGTTGGTAAGCGAATCAGAAACAACACGACCGTTATTATTGTAATTTTTAAGTTTAAAAAGAAGTAAATATCAATAATATGGTTAAATATCTATACAAATAAATGAAAATGAATTGTCTGTTTGTAATGTCAAAATAACAGCTTTTTACTTAATGCATATGAAAGTATATATGGTACCTACTTATAACAAAAACACAATTTTTAAAATTTTTGTCTGTCTGTTTGTTCCAGCTAATCTCCGAAATGGCTGGACCGATTTCGACGGGACTTTCACTGGCAGCTGGTGTTACAAGGAGTAACTAAGGCTACTTATATTTTGGAAAAAGACATAATTAAAACCCTGAATTACACGGGGGTAATTCAGGGTTAAAACAGCTAGTTACTTATAAATGAAAGGTAATTTTTTTAGCAGAAAACTGAACAATTTGGCATTTTATGATTAAGTCTAGTGAGCGATGCGGCAGCAACTAATTTTATTGTACGCATAGGACCACGTATACTTATACTTTGATAGAGGGAACGTCCGCGTATGGCTAATACCCTCCCACTCGTTGGTGGCTTGTGTTGTTCTACGATGTTTAACTATTATGAGTGTAAAAAAAGTTATAAAATCCTAAGTGACTAATTATTTTTAAAGAATGTGTAAACACACATTCTTTAAAAATATTAGTCGCTTATGATTTTTACGTTTCACAAAGTAGATTTAAAAAGGTATAATTCATTAATGTATCTCGTATAAATTGTGAACTAATGCCTAAAACAATGTTATAGACTTAGTGCGTGAACTTTTAAGCACTTTGTACACTTTTTTTTACATAAATTTAAAACTACAATGTTCCGCATCAAGCTATCTGTTGTGAATCAACATCTAGAGAGTCAGGCTTAAATATGAAAAATACAAATTTTCACTTTAGATACTCTAAATTTTAAATTCAATATTTGATTAAAATATAGAAGGAGTTTTGAACTGAATTGCACCGTATTGTATTCGGGCCTGATTGTTGACTTAAAAGTCATTTTAATATTTTTTAAATCATCTTTTAATATATTAAGTTGATTTTGCTGACTATTCCATCAAAGAGCAGACATCAGATTAATAAACAAGAGTAAACCGCGTCTTATACTGTTATATATTATCTTAGGTACCTACTTAATAAAACCACAGAATAAGACTTAGAAATAATTATAAGAAGTATTAATAATATTTATCTAATCTAACTTGTCCACTTGTCTAACTTTGCTTAGGTTCCTTTTTTGGTCGCTTGCTGGTAACATTTTCTCGTATTGCCAACATGATATATCCTATGTCTTTGTAAATTGTACATGCGAACAACTTCCTTTTTATCGTGTTCTTTTGACAACACGAGGTTATAATTTCTGTTTAGCCAAAAAGTATGTGTTTTGTGAAATAATTAAGTTTTGTTTGCAAATAAAATAGGAATAATAGTCCAATAAAAGTGTTTTCGATTGTTTTAGGCGCTAAAAATGACAGAGGAAAACTGGAACGACGATAGCATGGAAGCGGGCAGCATGGCCGTGGACACCATGCCACCACCCCAGCCGGCTGACATTCCTGAAATCAAATTATTCGGGAGATGGAGCTATTACGATGTTCAGGTTCCAGATATGTCTGTTCAGGATTATATTTCCGTGAAAGAAAAAGACGCTAAGTACCTGCCGCACTCTGCTGGTAGGTACGCACACAAGCGATTCCGGAAAGCGCAATGCCCTATCGTCGAACGTCTAACCAACTCTCTAATGATGCATGGCCGTAACAACGGTAAGAAATTAATGGCAGTTCGTATTGTGAAACACGCCTTCGAAATTATCCACCTCTTAACTGGAGAGAACCCTCTTCAAGTTTTAGCTACTGCTATTATTAATTCTGGTCCTCGTGAAGACTCCACTAGGATTGGTCGCGCTGGTACTGTTCGCCGTCAAGCTGTTGATGTTTCCCCCCTCCGTCGTGTGAACCAAGCTATCTGGCTGCTGTGCACTGGCGCACGTGAAGCAGCTTTCAGAAACATCAAGACCATTGCTGAATGTGTCGCTGATGAGCTTATCAATGCAGCAAAGGGTTCATCTAACTCATATGCCATCAAGAAGAAGGATGAGTTAGAACGTGTTGCAAAATCCAACCGTTAAGTTTTTTTAGGCTGGGTAAATAAAATTAAAAATTACCATATGTTTTTCATTTATTTTAAATTCATTTTTAATATTAATGATTTATCATAAAAATTTCATTCAATTCAATTGTGTTACATAGACTGGTTTCTGCAACTCCATAACTATTTGAGCCATCCTAGCTCCACAAGGAATCTTAAAAACTCTAATGTTGTCAAAGATTCCTGGATCTGTGACTTAAACAGGTTAATGTACTTAGCCAAACATGTGAACGCAATGCATTAGAGTAGGACATAGCTGACATCTCTTCACATTCCATGTAGGCTTGGCAAAGGGCTGTCCATGATATCTTTCATCAAATGACCTGTGCCCAGTTAGTGCTTGTATTAGTTGTTGTTAACTTTAGCTAAGCTAATAGGTATGAGGTGATCACTACCATGCATGATTTCTTACTTAATCATATAAAATATTGTGTTGTAAATTAATATTAAAAAGTCCTACTTGTCCATATTAGTGGTAACGTTTAAATGGCTTTCAATAAGTATTCTTGGAATCTATACTGAATAAAGATAATTCTATTCTCTATTTCATGCTGAATGACTGTGGGCTAGATTAGTCATTGCTTTCATGTAATCACTGTTGTGTTTTATACATCGAAGTATTAGTTATTTACTTCACCTGTCTTGATTAGGTGTGAGAATCATTATAGATACAATAAACATTTGAGCAAATGATAGAAAAGATTTTTAAAATAATATTTTTCATTACATAAAAGAACTCAATTTTGTTAGGTCACTGTGTCGGTACCATTGAAAGAATTCTCATTTATATAGTTTCAAAAGTTTCTTAGTAGTCAATTAAATAATATATAATATTGTGTCATATCTGTTATTTTAGAACTTATATATTTTTAACTTTTTTGGATTTTACAAATTAACAAAAGCATTAAAAATATATCAATGAAAATATATTACTGTTCAGAATTTATACAAATGCATAAGTTGATATATATTTTTTTATAAAATAATGTTTTTTATTAGGATTATCAGTTAACACTATTTATTATACTAAATTAAATTAATTATAAAAAATAATAAAATAGTGCAACCAATACTGTTAGCCATCAATTACTATTTACAAAAGTTGAGATTGAAAAAAGTTTACAAAACTAGTAAACTATACAAAAAAAAAAGAGTAACAATTATTATGCTATCCAGTTACACACTCATTTTCCTCGTATATAGAGTATTTCTTTATTTTAAACATCCACCTTAAATACAAAAGTAATCAATAACTTTTTATGACTATGAAAACTATGTATACCTACATAAATTTCATTGCTAAACAATGTCATGTTTGATTTTGGCATGATCTACCACATTCTACATCAAAATAATGTTAGGTTGTTAATGTTGCTTTTCTCTCCAAATAACTATAACATATTGGTCACATTAAAAAAAAACTAGCAAACTTCAGGGTTTCAAGGAAATGAAACATAAAATGTGCTTTGTTCTTGCCATGACAGTAAGGTTGGTTGGAATGAGGGCTAAAATCTTCCACTCACCAGATGTCGCTAGTTGTGACTGAGGTAGTTTTCTGTTACACAATAATTAATTTTATAAATAATATTATTAAAATAATTATTGAGAAATAGTTTTAAATAACAGTTTATCAGTTTCCAGAGTAATATTAATACGCAACAGAATGCATCAGTGATTTGATCTTAAATGTTTTGTACTTCATACCTCTTTTTTTATTTTTATTTTTTTACTTATATTGATAGTTTGGATTATTTATTTTTAGTATAATTAATATAGAATATAACTAATAATACAGAAAGAAACAAATTTTAAAGAACTTTTGCATAACTAATGAGTTATACGAGGGCGGCACTGAAAATTTCGGGAATCAAGGAAGTGACACAACATTACTATTTAAAAATGTATTTATTGCTTTTCAAAGTATTCTCCGCGAAATTTAACACATTTTTCCAAACGATGGAACCAATCATTGAAGCAACCATTCCATTCGGAAGTTGGGGTCTCCAAAATGGCCGTTTTGTAGGCGTCCACAGCTTTTTCATGTGATGAAAATCTCTGTCCACGCAATTTATTCTTTATTTTGGGGAAAGTATAGAAATCATTAGGGCTTAGGTCGGGGCTGTACGGCGGATGGTCTAATAATTCTATGTTTTCTTGCTCTAAAAACTTTTGTTCTGTGTGCGGTGTGAGAACTCGCTTTGTCGTGATGGAGGATGATGCGGCGGTTGCAGTTCTCTTTACGGAGTTCAGAAACGACCTGTGGCAAACAAATGCTAGCATACCATTCTGCATTAACCGTTCTTTGTCCCTCAAGAGGAATAGTCGTAACATGGCCGGTTTTGGAGAAAAAAGTGGCCACCATTTTTTTTGCAACACCGTGAACGAACAATTTTTGTTGGCTTTTAACTCATTTTCGAACACCCGAACTCGTGACTGGTTTTTTGTTTCGGGTTCGTACGCGTATATCCAGGATTGGTCACCTGATACGATGTTGTATACAGCATTTGAGGATCCTGCGTGGAATCTTTCGAGAGTTCTGACGCACCAAGAAACGCGAGCCGCTTTTTGCTCTTCACAGAGCGAATGCGGTATCCATCGGGAAAACAACTTTTTTACACCTAATTGTTCATTATTTGTATTTGACTCATGCCAATGTCTAAAGTTGCCTGAATTTCGCGGTATGTCACATGTCGATCTTCCTCAATCACCTTACGCACAGCATCAACGTTTTCTTGGGTGACTGCAGTTTTTGGACGACCTTGACGGGGATCATCACTGAGCTTGACACGTCCACGTTGAAATTCAGCAAAGCAGCGATAAATTGTGGTTTTGAATGGGGCTTCATCACCAAATGCAGAAATCATCCGGTCAACACACTGTTTTTGTGTTAAACCACTTTGAAAGTCATAATAAATCATCGCTCTTGAATTTTCTCGAGTCAATTCCATTTTGTCAAAGACTAAACAAGTTTGATAAAACCTTGTGACAAGACCGAGAATCTTTTTTTAAATAAATAAATGGTATTCGATTTTTAAAACCAAGGACTTCAATTAAAAAGATTTTAATATGACAGGAACAGTGGAAATATTCTATTCCCGATACTTTTAGTGCAGCCCTCGTATAATAAGTAAAGCTTTTAAATCAAAATTAATTGAGTAGGTACATTATCTTTAATGAAAAGACAAGGTTTTTTCAGACATTGTCATTTAAAAAATTAACTTTTGATATAAGTAAAAGCACACTTCGAAGAACTATAAAGAATAAAATTATTTCACATCTTTATGTCGCAACTAAGACATTGTAGTGGAGAATTAAAAATTCTTTGAATTTTAATTTAACTTTTTATTAAAAGTTAATTTTCTTAACCCTTTGAGTTGAATGAGGGAATATCACAATTTTAATGTTGTCTAAATAGTTAATTAAAAGCTTCATTCTATTTTTGCCGCCCTCCGTGGGGGGCGGTGGAATATTTGCTCCAATTTATAAGGAACCTCCCCTGAAGTAACCTATATAATAAAAAAGAATCATCAGAACTGGTTCACAAATGATGAAGATATCGCGTATCATACGTACAAAACAAAAAAAATATTAGTCGAATTGTTAACCTCCTTTTCGCAGTTTGCTAAAAAAGAATACTTGGTCCTGTATATTTTTGGAAAAAAAATAAGTGTGATATAAAACATAGAACGTTATCTCATAAAAAGATAAACATTCCTTGCTAAAAAACGAATAATTGGCTGGCTTTAAGTAAGTAAGTATGTACATTGTACACTTATCTTGATTGATTTAATTTTGATTTGATGGATTATTTACACACATTAAACAAACTATTTATTATTATTATGCCGTTACTTTACTAAGGTACACGTTAGCATACTAAAGTACAAAAGGTTGAAATCCTAACACCATAATACTGACCACAATCAGCTTAATCAGCACTTCGCCTCTACGTCTTGCATTGATTACCAAGCAAAGCAAAATACTTTTCTGTTTTTCATTTTAGTCAATTTGACAGTTGTTATGTTGACAGAGCCATGCTCTTCATCAATTCGAATTCAGTAGACGGTGACTGTATTAGTCGTAAAATGATAATTTCTCCTGGATCTTATCCCTGTAATTACTTCGATTTTAAACAATTGCGTGAAAACTGCTTTTCGCTCTGCTTGGAAAGAAACCAACATGATTCCTGTTCCTAAAAAGATCAGTCCGAAATGTTTTTCTGATTACCGGCCAATTTCTTTACTTCCTTTCCTATCTAAAGTGTTAGAACGTCTGGTGTCCAAGAAACTAAGCTCTTATCTAATATCTCCTTAATGCCTTGCAATGCGGTTTCAGCCCTGGTCATAGTACGACTACAGCACTTTTACAAATTACTGACGACATTCGTTATTGTATGGAAAATCAAAAATTGACAATATTTAACTTTGTTAGATTTTAGCAATGCGTTTAATACAGTCGATTTTGATATTTTGTTAAATATATTACGCTCTCTCAACATATCTCTGGCTGTATTTGTAGTTACTTGTTTGGGCGCCGACAGCGTATTCAAGTACAGGATAAAAAGATCAAATTCAGATTCAAAAATCTACTCAAAACTCATAATCATCTCTCTCATCTCTAATTAAACCCCCCCCCTCCCCTCCACCAGTTCTGCCTGTGCCTGCCCACGAATATATTTACTAGTTTTTTATATTTAACTAGCTTTCCACGCCGAGGTTTCGCCCACATTAAATGTAACTTTCACGTGAGAATTATTTATTTTGTCGTGATAAAAGGTCTTTCATCAGGTTGCAGTCAGTCTATCTCATCGCGTAATAATGAAATCTGTTCAGCAGGCGTAAAATGGTAACAGACAGTCAGACCGACTAAATTCTTTCACAAGTATATTATTAGTAAGTGTATACATCTAGTCGTAGTAGTCTCTATACGTGGTATGTTGTAGCTATATTAATGATATAGTTGTTGCACGAATGGGTCGGCTCGACCGGGGAAGGACTACGCTCTCACAGAATACCAGCGTAAATTAGCAGCTTAACCCTGCTGTGTAGAGAACCGGAGACCCTTTTTACTGGAAACGAGGCATTCCATCTTCGTCCTCTGGGGTGACAACCCATTTACATTTTGATACGTAATCGAGGATAGATGTAGATGTCTATGGGTCACAGCAACCACTTACCATCAGGTGGACTGTGTGCTCGTTTGTCACCCTAATTCTATACAAAAAATGTATTGAGTTTACAAACTAATAAGAAGTATTAATATTCAATTACGTTAATCTAATAATATTAAGTATTTCAGTGTGGTCTGTAGTAGTAACATTTTTATTTTTCAAGAACAGGGGCAAATGAGCATGCAGCTACCTGATGGTAAGTGACTACTACAGAGTACCTTTATATTGAGTGACTACCGCCCATGAATAACTGCAACACCAGGGGAATTGCAGATGCGTTGCCGGCCCTATAAAAAGGAGTAACCTCGTTTCTTGAAGATCTCTAAGTCGTATCGGACCGGATAAATCGCCGGTGGTAATTTAAATCAACAAAGAAGTCTTGTGAGGAAGAAAACTCTTCAGAAAGATTTATTACTATTTATTACAACATTTAATAAAATGTATAGTTTCATCTTTTATTAATTTAAGGTAGGTAACGTGTATACACAGGTTAAATAAAAAATATATTAAAATTTATTAATATAATAAATTATATATTAAAATGTTAGAAAAGATATTACCCAATCGGTTATAGAATATATCTGGTAGGTAATAAATTTCTTGCCACTTTAAAATGCAGCGCTAGCAGAAAGAAATGAAGATTTCTTGTTAGTTCATATTTTCACCGCAAGACTTCTGTTGAGGCGTGGGCTCTTTGGGAATCCCCGATTTATTCCACTTTTTCCCACCAAATGTCCCACTGGTGGAACAAAGTGGACTCTTTAAGATGTGTTCGTCTACTTTTCCCCACTAATCGTTTCATGGTGGGAAAAATTGCACTGTTGTAATAAACCTCGTCCACTTTTTCCCACTAGGGGTGGCATAAGCAAATTCTAAGATCTTGAAGTGGTTTTTTTAAAAAAAAAACACATCAACAAAATTAAATAATTGCATGTTTTTTATAGGATAAAGGTGACAAACGAGCACACAGTCCACCTGATGGTAAGTGGTTGCTGCGGCCATAGAGACATCTACATCTATCCTCTATTACAAATCAAAATGCAGATGCGTTGTCACCCGTGAGGAGTAAGATGGAATGCCTCATTTCCAGTAAAATTGGTCGTCGATTCTCGTCGATCTACACTCACCATACGAAACACAGCAGCGTTAAGCTGCTATTTTACGCTGGTATTCTGTGAGAGCGTGGTCCTTCCCCGGTCGGGCCGACTCGTTCGTGCTACAACTATACTACTAATATAGCCGCAGCACGGCTCTACCACGTAGTAAATTAATCAATGAGCAATTTAATCAAAATAAGTCATAGATTTACATAATGTTTATATATTTTTTTGGATTTATCTACAGAAATCACAGATGTTTCATAATATAACCTCTTAAAAGACAGATAGGTATACAACCAAGAAGTATAAATCACGGAATATTTATTCCGGTCAAGTTCTCAAAAACAGGGGTAAGGTTATAATAATTAGCATAAAGCTAAAAATGTTAGGAATATATCTAATTACAAATGAAATGTGAAAAGTCCATATCTATCCACATGGGTTTTTTTTTTTGAATTTTTCAGCTAAACGGTAAGTTTTATCATAAAAATAGCCAAAAGAACAGGGGGGGGGGGGTCCACCCTGGGTGAGACTTACCAATAAATATATAGCTACCTATTTTTTAGCGGTAAACGCGCAAACTTCTCGAGTTTGAACTGGTCTAGATTTAGTCGCTCCCAATCTGAGACCGAGTAGCGGTTAAACATATCCACTACCCCATATCTTTCCGTGGGTGTCGTAAGAGGCGACGGAGGGAAACCGAGGCAGAAGATGGGCAGCAGCATCTTCCTGATAACAGCAATAATACAATAAAACAACTGCGGTTGCCAACCCGCTCGCCAAGAGTGGCAACTATGGCAAACATCCCCCCTCGATGAAAGTTACAAAGAAACAGTCCCACTATTCTTGGCTACGGTGGCGACCATGATAATGGAGGGGCAGGGGGTACTCAGAATCTCCGGTGGAGGTTCGGTTGCCACCTAAGACGGCTCGACCTAGCAACATACAACGCAAGCACCCTGAGGACTGACGAGAAGATACTGGAGCTGGAAGGAGAGATAGACAAGTAGCGCTAGCATATTATAGGATTATCTGAGGTCCGAATGGAGAGGGAGGACACGGTAATCCTCGAATTCAGCAACTTGTTCTATCACTGGTAGGGCGACCATCTGTCCCAAGGAGATATCGGATTTATCGTTCACAAGTCTCTCGTTAACAATGTTCTAAAGATTATCAGTGTGTCGACGAGGGTTGCACACCTTATACTCAGAATCACCAAACGGTATTCGTTGAAGGTTATACATGTTTACGCACCAACTTCGACTCATCCCGAATCCCGATGAGGAGATGGAGCGAATGAATGAGGATATCTCTAAAGCCATGCATCCCTCCAAAACCCACTATACGGTGTTAATGGGAGACTTCAACGCAAAATTAGGCACAAGAGAGAACGGTGAGCTGAACGTAGGGAAATTCGAAATTGAGCAACGCAACCCAAGGGGTCAGCAGCTGGCCAATTTCATGTATAAAGAGGGACCCTTTACGATGAACTCTTTCTTCCAGAAGCGATCCCACAAGAAGTGGACCTGGTCTAGCCCCACGGTTCGACGAAAAATGAGGTTGACTTCATAATAACGACTAGACGGCAACTGTACAATGATGTCTCAGTGATCTCGAGAGTGAAAACTGGTAACGATCACCGAATGATTAGAGGCGCACTAAACGTTAAGTTGGAGGGGTCTCTTCTAACGAAGTCAACGCTCCATCCCCCTCGTGTTCAAATCCAAAGTCCCGAAATTTTTCAGCTCAAGTTACAAAACCGTTTTTAGTGCCTAGAAGACTGCAATTTAGTGGAAGACATGAACGAAAAGCTCGTGGAAACTGTCCAAGCTAAGTTCTGCAAGACCCGCCGCAGAAGAACACAAATAGCTCTCCGACCACACTCGTTAATCTCATGACTGTTAGACGGGAAATGAAGCTGCAGTCTTCAACAGATTTGACAGCATACAGGCAACTGAACCGATAGATCTCCTGAAATCTTGAAAATGCATGTGGCTGGACTTACGCAACTTTAATACAGCTCGTATTGAAGAAGCGATCGAGCGGAATCAAGGCTCCAAAGTCTTTGCTATTTATCTGTCTACCAGAAAATTAAAGTGTAAAGTGAAACTGTCAAAGCTAAAGACCGAGTGTGGCAGCATCGTTTCCGGGACACCTGAGATTTTGAGTGAGATTGAGAGGTTCTATGGACAGCTGTACATGTCATCGCTGGAGCCACACGTATGAGTAACGATCTAAGAGCAAGTTTTTTTTTTATAGGATAGGGTGACAAACGAGTACACAGTCCACCTGATGGTAAGTGG